CCAGAGGAGAACTCTCCGCCTCTGTCTGAGTGCAGACGCAACACAGGAAAGTCCGAGCCAAAGCTCTGCCTGAGCTGGAGACGAGCTGCGCGGATCCAGTCGATCAGCACCTCAGTGACATCACCCTTGCTGCGCAAGGGGAAGACTGTGGTGTAACGCGAGTAGTCGTCAACCACCAATAGGAAGTAGCGCTCGTGGCCAAGTCCACGGACGCGGGCAGGGCCCCACACGTCCATGTGAAGCGTCTGCAACGGAGCCTCTGTCGGAGGAAACTGGGAGGAGTGAGGGGCAGCACGCTGGCGCCCCTCGACACAGGGGACACAGGCAGGGCCAGGGCCCTGAGGAAGGGGAGGGAGGGACCGGGGGAGACAAGACACAAGAAGACGGGAGGCCATGCCTCTGAGCCGAAGCAGAGAGGGGTGACCCAGGCGGTGGTGCCAGAGGAGAGTCTCGTGAGACAGGCGACGACACGAACAGGGGGCAGACTCAGGACCAGACCTGGACGCTGCAGCAAACACCTGACCTGACGAAGAGACCCTACCAGACGCAGGAACTGGAGGAGACGCAGTGGTCAGTGTGTACAGGCTCGACCCTGGCTGACGTGTAAACGTAGCCAGATGACGACCTGTGCTAGCCTTTGTGCAGTGCATCACTCGCTGACGAGCAGGGGTGAACTGGTGGACTCCCGCATCCTGTAGGTCAGCACCACTCACCAAGTTCGTAGAGAACGAGGGGAGGTAGAGACCAGACAGGGTGCCAGAGGGAGCCGCCGGACACGGGAGGACTGTGGAGAAGCGAGACAGGACATGACCCCCAGAGGGGTCAGCCAGGGACACCGCAACCGTCCGACTAAGCGGCGTAAGTGTGGTGCGGTCCCGAAAGAAGGAGCGAGACGCTCCAGAGTCAAGGGTGAAGGTGTGGGAGGCCGAAGCCGACGCAGTACCTGAGAGCGCAGACTCACTAGTACCTGAGAGAGCAGCCTCACCAGTACCTGAGAGCACAAACGCACTGGCACCTAGAGCAGAAGCCTCACTGGCACCTAGAGCAGCAGTACCAATGCCCGGGTCGGGCGGGAAACACCGGTAACAGTCACCCTCATCACTAATGGTCACAGCATACATGGCAGCAAGGATAGCATCAAAGTCAAGATCAAAGATAGCTACACCAGCCCTAGAAAGCTCTCCCCAGCGGGGGATCTCCGCGGCCTCCGGGAACTGCTGGCGCCAAGCGTCCGTCAGGCGGCCAAAGCAGCGCTGGGCGGTGTGGGCACCCCCACACTGCTCTCCAGCGCGGTCGCCAGTGCGAAGAACGTAGGTGCAAGGACCAAAACCCCCACCACGCTGACGCTGCGTGTACCACTCACGGAGCTGCTGAGGGGTGGGGACGTCGCGAGAACGCTGCTGCTGCCGCAAACCACCCCCAGTGCAGCTCCGCTGCGAAGCGCCACCCCGACCACCTCTGCCACCGCCACCCCCGCCTCCGCCTCCACCCCCGCCTCCGCCTCCACCGCTGCCGCCTCCACCACCTCCGCTCCCACCGCCACCGCCGCCGCCACCCCCGCCTCCACTGCCGCCACTAGCACCCCCACCCCCGCCACCACCTCCACCGCCACCCCCACTCCCTCCGCCGCCTCCACCTCCACCTCCACCGCCCCCGCTGGCCCCACCCGCTCCCTTGCCCCCCTTGCCCTTGCCAGGGCGGCGTCTCCCACTAGGGGCAGACGCCGCACCGACCGACTCAAGACCAACGAGGTCGGCCGTAGCGGCAGAGGCAACAGAGGGCAAAAGAGGGGAAGGAGAACACCCCTCAAAGATGGGGGCGCGGGGGTCACCTCGAGAGGCTCCTACAGCGACTACGCTCTTCTCCGCCGCTAGGAGGGCCTTCTCGAGGCTGTCGACTTTGAGAGTGGTGGGACAGACCGCAAGGAAGTGGTCCCGGACTACACGAAGGGAGTCAGGGAGGCGAGTAACTAGGAAGTAGAGAGTGATGTACATGGGGGGGGGGTTCTTGGCGCAGAAGTCAGCAGGAAGCGCAGCGCGGTAGCGGGTGTCACTAGTGCGGAGGTGCGTAATGAGATCAGCGACAGTGGGAAAGGCAGCAAGGTCAGGGAAGAGGAAAGGGGGCATGAGGCGACTCAGTGCAGCAGTGGCAGGGGAGGAGTAGCGCGCAACTACAGCGTCGTACAAGGTCTGAGCACTCTTGTACTGACTAAAGTGCGCGCGCTCAGTGGTAGGCAGGTGGCGACGCACAGCAAGACGTGCAGCAGCGTCGCGTGTGGCCCACTGGGAGCGAACAGTTGGGTCGGCATCAGCAGCAGGGGCAGGGACGGCGCCAGAGGTGAGGTCAAAGAGAGAAAGACCGTCTGCCCTATCGCACTGTAAGAACAGCTGCAGGTTGTCTACCCAGACCTCAAAGTCAATGGCGCGACCCTCAGCGTCAAAGGCTAGGACACTAGGGGTAGCCATGACAGCAGGCGGCGATCTCACCAGACAAGGCGGGTCGGGCAGCTCAGGGGCGCAGTAACACGGCAACACTGCTGCTCGGCCGGCCTTGCAGCAACAGCAGCTCCGGTGGACCAGCGGCTCGGCTCCTCAGATGACCCGGGCGGCTCGGGCGGCTCGGGCGGCTCGGGCGGCTCGGGTACTCAGCGGCTCGGGGACTCAGCGGCTCGGGCGGCTCTGGCGGCTCGGGCGGCAGGGTGTCACAGCGGCGTAAGGGCGGCGTGGGGCCGAGGCGGCGGCTGAAGCGTGCAGCCGAGTCGGCGGCGAGCGGTAGGGGCGGCGGCGTGAGCCACAGGTAGGGCGGCAGTAGGCCGCAAGTAAGGGCGGCGGGTGGGTCGCAGGTAAGGCGACGGGGCCGCTACGTGAGGGGGGGGGGGCGGGGCCGCAACGTAAGGGCGGCGGGGCCGCAACGTAAGGGCGGCGGGGCCGCGACGTAAGGGCGGCGGGGCTGCGACGTAAGGGTGGCGGGACCGCGACGTAAGGGCGGGGGGGCCCCTACGGAAGGGCGGCGGGGCCGCGACGTAAGGGCGGCGGGACCGCGACGTAAGGGTGGCGGGACCGCGACGCAAGGGTGGCGGGGCCGCGACGTAAGGGCGGCGGGGCCGCGACGTAAGGGCGGCGGGGCCGCGAAGTAAGGGCGGCGGGGCCGCGTAGGTAAGGGCGGCGAGGCCGCGTCGTAAGGGCGGGGCGGGGCCGCGACGTAAGGGCGGGGCGGGGCCGCGACGTAAGGGCGGCGGGGCCGCGACGCAAGGGCGGCGGGGCCGCGACGTAAGGGCAGCGGGGTCGCGTAGGTAAGGGCGGCGTAACGGGCCGCTGGGGGCGACACGAAGGGTCGCTAAAAAAAAGAACGCGCGCCTCGGGGCGCGCTTCGGTGGGCCCTATGAACAGTCCCTAGGAGGGGACCTGCTCTGATTCCATGAGAAGAAGTGAACGAGAATGAAATGACTATGAACGAAGTGAGTACAAATAGGAAACCCTAATTGGGTTGTACCCCCTATGGGATACCCCACTATAGCCTACACAAATAAGTGAGCTATAATGTTCTGACACACGATGCCAGCCAGTCCCCTCTCTCTTTATGTCTGAAGTGAACGTCGACGTTTCCCGACGAAACTTTGAGGGACGTCGAGGAATCGTGACGGTCGGAACGCTCAATCCGAGGGTTGAGATTCGCCACCATTCCCCGACGAAAATGTACATCCGTCGACATTTCACTTCAGGCACGCTCTTTGGGGGTGTTCGAAGTGAAGCGTCGACATCCGTGGACATCCGTTTGGGGATGTCGGTAAATCCTGACGGTTGGAACTGTCGATCCGAGGGATGACATCCGACGACTTCTATTGACGTTTCACTTCGGACATGCCCTTAGTCAGATTATCGGTGCCGCCAACACCTCACTCTGAAACATCGCAGTGAGGGGGGAAACGTGGGCGACGCGGAAATGCAAGTACAAAAGGCGTAACAAAAACCTAATAAGGTCATGGTACACCAAACTTAACTAACATCAGAGTAGAGAAAAATATTACTCTGGCGTGCCTGTGTTTTTTTTTTTTTTTAAGTATAGGGTTACTCTGACAAATCAGAGTAAGGCGCAGGAACAACCCTAGATTTCAGAGTTGGGAAAAAACTACTCTGGAAATCAGAGTACCTAAAATCCAAGAATAGGCCCTGGTGTAGGCTTTGGCGAGAGTTCGCAATTTCGTCTAGGCTCGTTTTTTTCGCGAGACCCAGCCAACCCTCAGTTTTCCCCCTGGTGAGTGAATCTGTCTTCGTAAGTCCCAAATTGCAGGTGCGTGACTTTCAAAAGCTTGGACACTCAACTTCATCAAGTTTTAAAAACTTGACCCTCGCGGTCCGCAATTTAGGACGCGGGCTTTAAATTCACATAACGTTTAAACATTCTCACATATATTTTGACTAGAAGTATGATTATGTATGCACAATTCTTAATGAACACATGCAAGCTGATATTGGTAACTATGTGTACACTCCTCAAGCACAAACACAAACACAGAAGCACACAGACGCACACACACAATCTCACACTCAAGAGTCGCTATTAGAATGGGGTGAGAAGGGAGAGAAGGGAGAAAAACAAAAGCGATAGGTGGGTGGAGGAGAGGTAGAACAAACTAGGCACAAAAGACAAATCTCATGGGAGTACTTTCTTGGTGGTATCAACTTCAACTGCAGACTTGAGCAACTGCCATTTTTACTTCCGAAAAAGCATCACTTCATATGGAGTACTGGGTTGCTTGCTTTGCTGGTCTCCATATAGCGGACACACATGAAAGACAGCATGTCAGCTGATGTGAGTCTGTTGAGAGGCACACAAAGAAAGAAACGGATAGATGCAGGGAAACGTGAGAGCACACATGAGAAGTGTGTGTGCATGAGACAGAGTTGCTTCTAGAATCAACAATGATGTTCTTGACAGAGCAGGAATGAGACAAATGCATGGAAAGCATGAGATTGGGAGTAACGAACAGATGCAAAGACTTACGAGACACTTGCTGCAGCGATGCCGGAGAGTGAGAGGGCAGGCAGCTGAGCCACCTGCGTAACGCAGTTGGCAAAGCGATACGCGTTGACAAACTGGCAGTGCCCCGCCCCTCCCGGTGCCCGGTCCACCCGCCAGTATGACCGCACGTTGAGACCGATTGTCGAAGGCAGGTTGGTGCATCTGGAGTACCTCACGCGCAAGGTGTAGGTGGAGGGCGTCAAGGTAAGCCCCGGCTGGTTGTAGAAGGTGAGACTCGCAGAGGACACGGTTGGAAGGGCGCCTGAAAGACACATGGGGTATGGGTTCAGGCGGAACAGGTTCGTATGCACCATCGATAAATTAACCGGGCTAAACCTACACGGTTGGAAGGGCGCCTGAAAAACCCATACACATGGGGTATGGGTTCAGGCGGAACAGGTTCGTACGTCACACATGACCTACAACGTGACTGACTTGACGTGACTTATTCCACGTGACTTATTCCACGTGACTTACCACGGACGCAACCAGTGGCGGTCATGCCAAAGCCAGCAGGGCAGACGCAGTAAGGAGCCTTTCTGGTGGAGGAGACCAGCGTGCATGTGGCCAGGGACGGGCAGTTGCCACACGTGGCCGGCCCTGGTGAGTGCAGGGTGGGGAAGCAGAGTGCAAAAGAAAAAATATGTGAGGGCGATAGGAGAGTGGGTAGAGTTGAAGGGGCCAGAAGGGCAGCCGCAGTAAGGAGCTTTTCTGGTGGACGAGACTAGAGTGCGTGCGGCTAGGGACGAACAGCTGCCACATGTGGCAGGCTATGGTGAGTGCAGCAGGGTGGAGAAATGATGTGAAATCTGGAGTGCGGTGGGAGAGCAGGTAGAGTAGAAAGGAGAAGCTAGTGCTTGGACTGGGCTGGGCAGAAAGGGGAGAAGGGGACAGCAAGTTTTAGAATAAATGGCAGCATGCAACAAAGCATACGACAGCACAATGAGCACAATGCAAAGTGTGATAGAGAGGCATGTAACAGCACGGAAATATGGGGGAGCGGGGGGAGGGGGGAACATAAACTAGAGCAGGCAATCATAGTAGTGTGTGTGGGCAAAGATGCAAAGGAGGAAGCGAGGATGGAGTGAGAGGGGGTGCAGGGGAGATGGTGTGGAGGGGAGGGGAGGTGAGGTTGTAATCCATCCAAGGGTTCCAGAACAGAACTACATACCAACACAGGTGCCATAGAGCAGTGTGTAGCCTGGCTTGCACACACAGTACGCTGTGCCATCCTCATACTTCATACAATCCGACGTGAGCGCCTGGCACCTCTTAAGGATGCAATTATCTGGAGGGGAGGGGGTTGCGGGGGAGAGGGTTCGGGGGGAATGAATGAGCGTGGGGCGAAGGAGAAAGCTAGGTGGAGGTCCTGAGAATGCAGCAGAGAGGACGCCGACATGCCGGCTTGAGGGAAGAAGGACGAGAAAGAGAGAGCATGAGAAGGGAGAAAGAAGAAGAGGACAAGAGAGAAAGGGCAGAGCACGGGCGAGAGAGGAAGAGGTAGAGGGAGCAGGAAAGAGGTAGAGGGAGCAAACATCAACACACAGCATCCTTACCCGTGCACGTCCTGCCATCACCCATGAGTGTGAAACCAACGTCACACACACAAGACGTGTTTTGAGTGGACTCAAAACACACTTTGAAATTGGCTCAGAACACACTCTTGAGTCGACTCCAAACAGATCAACACACAGCCTTCTTACCAGTGCATGTCCTGCCATCACCCATGAGCGTGAAACCAACGTCACACACACAAGACGCCATCCCCGCCTCGTCCTTCACACAGCGGCCGTTCTCACCACATGCTTGCAGTATGCACGTGTCTGCCAGGGGAGGGAGGAGCATGAGAACCATAAATGAAAAGGGTTAAGGAAAGGAAACGAAAACACACACTCACACACACACACATACACACACACACACACACACATACGCAAATGAATCTGGAAGTGCACTGTATCAGTACAACACACAGGTTTAGGTAGCATAGCACACAACACAACAGCCTTAGGTGTACACGTTATGCCATCATTCTGCAGCACACACAGAGCGTCGACTCGGCAGATATATATAGACTCACATGGCCGCAAATCATCCAGCAGCAAATGACAGAAACATAGACAGCCGATGTTGGTTGGTCACGCCATAGTCCCACCCCAGTTGCAATGTTCTGAGTCGACTAGAAAAACCACGGACACATGCGGCACAAAACCACAGAAGCACAGTCGTCATACATTGCAAGCAGCACTGACCAACACAGCCGGCGTCGGTCACGGCGTAGCCCCAGTTGCAGTGACACACGGCCAGATCCTGCTCCTTTTGAGGCGCCTCACAAATACAACATGGGATAAGTAGCACTGACCAACACAGCTGGGCACTGACCAACACAGCAGGGCACTGACCAACACAGCAGGGCACTGACCAACACAGCCGGTGTCGGTCATGGCGTAGCCCCAGTTGCAGTGACACACAGCCAGCTCCTGCTCCTTCTCACAGTAGGCGTTCTCCCCACAGTCCCTTATCGCACACGAGTCTGTCGGGGGCACAGCATGAGAGAAGGCACATACGGCGCGGGAGCAGCAACAAGAGAGTGAGGGCTTTTGGGGCACCTCAAACAAAAGTCGCTCCTGCTCCTTCTCGCAGCAGGCGTTCTCCCCACAGTCCCTTCTCGCACACGAGTCTGTTGGGTCCACAGAGGAAAGAACACGCATATGGCCGGGAAGAAGAAATGATAGAGTGAGAACGCATGGGAGAGAGAGGAGGTGGAAAGAATGGGCGGAGTGCCCTGCCTGCCTGCATGCATGCCCGAAGGTCTTAACGAGAGGCAGCAACTGCAGGAATGCCTACTGCCAACAAGCATGGAAGGGAAGTGGAAAGAATGGGCGGAGTGCCCTGCCTGCCTGCTCTGCATGGCGTGCCTGAAAAGCCTTTGAGAGCAACTGGAAAGGTCATAACGAGAGGCAGCGATTGCACGGGTGCTACGCACTGAAGAGGAGGACTCAGGGCGCGGGATTCAGTGGACATGAGACGCAGCAAGGGTGGGTGCAGGCACTCACGCATGCAGGATGCATTGGGCAGCAGCTTGAGGCGTCTTTCACACACACACAATCGGGTGTTATAAGGTTTGCTTTGAGACGTCTCAAAGCAAGGGAAGGTGAGCTCACGCGTGCAGGATGCATTGGGCAGCAGCTTGTGGCCCCTTTCGCACACACAGGTGCCCCAGCCTGCCTCTTTAAGTCTACTCAAAAGGGTGGGTGACGGCACTCACGCGTGCAAGATGCGTTGGGCAGCAGCTTGAGGCCCCTCTCACACACGCAGGGGCAAGAGAAGGTTAGGTTTGAGACGTCTCAAAGCAAGGGAAGGTGAGCTCACGCGCGCATGACGCATTGGGCAGCAGCTTGAGGCCCCTCTCACACACGCAGTTGGCCCAGCCTGCCTCGTTCTTCAGACACCTCGAGTTGGGGCCGCAGTTGCGTACCGTGCACACGTCTGCACTCACACACGTGGGGGCAGACACTGGCATGTGGGGGCAGACACAGGCACGTGGGGGCAGACACAGGCACGTGGGGGCAGACACAGGCACGTGGGGGTAGACACAGGCACGTGGGGGCAGACAGAGGCACGTGGGGGCAGACATAGGCACGTGGGGGTAGACACAGACACGTGGGGTTAGGCACATTGGGGCAGAAACAGGGGGTAGACACATAGGGGCAGACACGTGGGGGCAGACACGTGGGGGCAGACACGTGGGGGCAGACACGTGGGGGCAGACGGGGCAGGCACACAGCACAATTGACCAGAAACCATAACGCCATGTGCACAAGCTGTGTGAAATGCAGATACCAGATAACGCCATGATGAGCCATGGAACAGGTGCAGCGGATCGGAGTGGAGTGTGGAGCAATATTGCAATGTTGCATGCACATTAAATCACTCACGCAAAATGCAGCAGATACAAGCAATGTATAGTAAGGCCATGAAGTTGCAGTGCAGCAATGCTGCAGGCAGATTCTATCCTTCTAACAGCACCAGCACCCACCAACGCAGTTGCCCTCGGCGTCCTTCTCTTGGCCCCGCGGGTAGCGGCGGTTGCTGGCAGCAGGTGGCAGGACGACGGCTGGAGCCCTGGGCACATTCTCTGCGAGACACCATGGGGGGCAGGGAGGCAGGCGGTGGTCAAGATGGTCAAGATGGATGGAAGGGTCACAGATAGTTGGATTGGAAGTTTTCAAGGGTACTGAGTTGACTTTTGAGTCGACTCAAAAGTCAGATGGTCAAGAAGGATGGAAGGGTCGCAGATAGTTGGATTGGAAGTTTTCAAGGGTACTGAGTTGACTTTTGAGTCGACTCAAAAGTCAGATGGTCAAGATGGATGGAAGGGTCGTCGCAGATAGTTGGATTGGAAGTTTTCAAGGGTACTGCGAGAGGGAGAGATGGAGATGGGGAGTGAGTGAATCAGCCTTCAATGTTGATCAAGCAGCACCCGGCGTCAGCGCGGGCCACACTCGAAGAAGCACAAAGAAGGAACTGACCACCTTTAGTCGACTCAGAAATAGCGCGGGCCACACTCAAAGAAGCACAAAGAACCGACCGCTTTTGAGGCGCCTCAAAACCCAATCGGAATGATTACTCATAGCGGCAAAGAACAGAAGCATGCCAACAGACAGCAACCTTACCAGCGCACGACTTGCCATCATCTCGCAGCGTGAAGCCAGCGTCACACACACACACGACGCCGCCCCGTCCTCGTCCTTCACGCACTGCCCGTTCACACCGCACTCCAGGAGCACAAACGTGTCTGTTAGGGGAGGGCGGAGTGGCGGGCGAAGGGAATAAAATCAATGAATGTGAAGGGAAATGTACCTCAATAGCAGCAAAACAATCAAACCACACATGGCAGCAGCAGCACACAGAACATTAGCAGCAGCAGCAGCAGCATGCACCTACCTGCGCCCGTGCTCCTCTTCACAGTGAAACTCATCGGACCAACAGGGATACGTAGCAGCACTGACCAACACAGCCGTCGGCGGTGACGTTTGAGTCGACTCAAAAGCCAGGGTAACAAACATAGGATGTCATCACAGCTCAACTCATCTATACAATAGGGATAGGCAAGCAGCACTGACCAACACAGCCGCCAGCAGTCTTGGCGAAGCCAGTGTTGCAACGACACGTGGTGCGCCCCTGCACCTCCTCACAGTACCCCTTCTCTCCACAATCCTGAATCATGCACACCTCTGCTAGGTTCACAGCACGAGAGGGCGCACAGCAGAGCAAGCACAGGGCAGCAGAAAAGTGATGCTGGATGGAGTGGCCACAGCATGCTGAGAGGCAGTTACATGCGACTGGGAAGGTTTGAAACGAGAGGCAGCAATGGCACCGGTGTTGCTACCCCTTGCTGGGGAGGATTCAAGCCCTTGACCATGGCAGCCTTGAAGTCAAGCACGAGAGGAAACAACAAGGGTGGTAGTAGTAGGTCATGTCATGTGCAGGACGCTGGAGTGGGCAGCAGCGGATATGAGAAGCAACAAGGGTGGGTGAAGCATCAAGGGTGGGTGAAGCAACAAGGGTGGGTGAAGGTGAAGGGTGAAGCTGGGTAAATGTAACACCTCGCTACCCACTGGGTCAAAACGAGGGTTATATTTGAGGCGAAGCGGATGCACTCAACCCTTACATGAGTGCATCCACTGGAGCCCCACAAGTGTTACACTCGTCCCCCCCTGGAGCCAACGTCCTCGTTGGGCAGGGAGTCGAGTCGGCCCTCGCAAGGACCTCAATCTCACTCTACAGCCCAGCGGCCTTTGCTGGTGGGCCAGCCCAGCGGCGGATCGCTCACTGGGTTTGCGACTGGGTCACCACATTCAATTTCTCGCCCACAGCGGAAAGTCTGACCCAGCCAGGAATCGAACCCTAGCCTATGAGACCAATTGTATCACCTCGCTACCCACTCAGTCAAAACGAGGGTTATATTTGACGCGCAGCAAATACACTCAACCCTTTCATGAAAGCCCCACTGGCGTTACAGGGAAGGTGAGCTCACGCGCGCAGGAGGCGTTGGGCAGCAGCTTAAAGCCCCTGTCACACACGCAGTCCGCCCAGCCCGCCACGCTCTTGAGGCACCTCGCGTTGGCGCCACAGCTGCGATCCGTGCATGCCAGGCGCAAGGCTTCCGCCGCCCTGGGCGCACATGCTGGGAGAATCCGGGGAAGAGAGGGGGAGGGGTTTGGGGGGGAAAGGGGGGGGGGGGGGGGGGAGGGTCCGGGCTGCCATCCGTGCATGGCCGACGTTACTAAGCCTGGGCCAGGCGCAGGGGTGAAGGAGGTGGAGGAGATGGTCAAGATGAAAGGCCGGAGGAGAGCTGGCGATGCTAAGGCTTTCGAGGAATTATGTAGACATGTATATGAAGCAATATGTGTTTTTTTGTGTACAAAGCACAGATAGCTGTTCGCAAGGCCGGTGAGAGAGTGAGCATACCTGAGAGTATGAGAGCAGCCAGCGCAGCAGCGAGCACAAGCCTGAGGTCAGAGCGTTGCATCGCAGCGACGTCGCACGCAGCCATGGTTAATCTTTCTGGATTCTTGAAAGCGAGAACTCGCGAAAAACGCAGCGCGGAGGGATCCTTGAGGAGGTGCGTAACGGTTGAAATCGGTCAAGCAGGAAAGGGTGGAAAGGAATTATTTGCGGACTGGGATGATGATGGGTTGAGTCCCATCGCTGAAATACTTCCACCGCGCTCAGTCCCCCGCCTCCTACGGCTGCCGGATGCGGGTGACCAATGGCAGGCATCCCCTGGGTCCTTGCGAATCGGTTTTATCCAGTGTTCCTGCAGCACGTGGCATGACGCAATCCGAACAGTTCAAACGTCGGGTTCACGCCGACCGTCAACCTCCAAGAAACATGGAGTGCGGCAGATTTGGATTTTCCAAAGAACATCACTTGGAGTCTTAGTATCGTTCACGTATCTGTAGCAATCCTTGACGGCATTCGTGAGTGATACGGATGCTACCGTCCTACGCCGCGCGGAAGATATGCTCTAGCCCGGCTTGAGCTTGAGTCATGACTCTTGGATGTCTACAGTACCCAGGATGCTTCTATTCGATGATTCCGGCACGCGGAGGAACGCTGAACGGTGAGCACTCGTTTTGGGCTCAATTCTTCGGAAGGGATTCATCGGATGACGTGGCGCGCCCTCCCTGGCATTTGGACTAAACACAAGACTGCTTGACAAATATGACGTGCACTGAACACGTCCCAAAAAAGGGGGCCCAAAAACTAACCCCCAGAAAAGATAAAACATAGTTTTTGGTTTGGTGCTGGCAGCAATGTTTGGGGTCTTTCTACAAGATTCCTCTGTCAAAAAAGGATGGCCTAGGGCTAGCTCAGCAGGAGTGATAGAGCACTCACCGTTAGGCTCGAAAACCATGCCCTACACATGCCTGGAGGTTATCTCGTACCCCTCTTCCAGGGGGGCGCCGGAGGTAGTGGCTCTCGAACATTATATATGTTGTATTTGTGTAGGCTATAGTTGGTTAGCCTTTAGGGGGTACATTATTCTGGGGTTAGGTATTTGTACTCTCACTTGTTTCTAGTCCAACAACTTCTTCTTTCCAACATGGTATTAAGAGCATAGGTTTAAACCTAGGATCGCTCCTTAGGGCCCACCACACCGTACGACTGTCTGCCTACTAGCGCCCTCGTGCGCCCTACTGTCGGAGCGCCCTCGAGCGCCTCCCCCCAGCGCCCTCGTGCGCCCCTCTTTCACGGCCTCGTAAGGCCCCGTGACCCGCGACCCGCCCCTTAGCGACCCGCGCGCCGCCCCTTAGAGCCCCCTCTCACGGCCGCGTCGACCCTGCGCGCAGCCCCTCGTAGGCCCCGTTGGCCTAGTCGACCCCGCGCGCGCCCCACTTAGCGGCCCCGTCGACCCCACGCGCCGCCCCTTAGCGGCCCACCTCACGGCCCCGTCAACCCCGAGAGCAGCCCCTTAGAGGCCCCGTCGGCCCCGTCAACCCTGCGTGCGCCCCACCTTAGCGGCCCCGTTGGCCCCGTCGACCCCGTGCGCCCCCCCCCCCCCCCCCCTTAGCGGCCCCGTCGGCCCTTGCTCAAAGTTTTCCACGCATTGCGCCCGGCAGCGCCACGTGGTGGAATTTCCCAATGCGCCATTGCACCAATCGCATGCGCCAGGACGCCGGCTCCCATGCCATGCTCCCCGCCGACATGAGAGTACTGCTTGTACGTGTCTGGTTTGCGGATAGGTAGCCTTGCGTGCTTGAAATCCACGCGCGCGCCGGGTGCGCCTGTGAAGTTGTACGGCCCCCTATCCAGCCGCAAAACGCCGGACATATCGAGTAGCATGATTATGAATTTGTCAAAGCACAACAACTCTTGGACTCAACAATTGACAACAGCTGGCGACATCGACTTACCACCCATCCTTCGGAGTAAGCGAATTCCATCAAATAACGGCGATAGTCCATTGGGGGGGAACTGTCGCAGACAAGGTCCCCTTCCCCCTTTGCCGCGAGGTTGACGTTCCGGTAACCCGAGGCAACGCCTTGAATGCCCGAGCACGTTCAGTCAGTGCGGGGGGATAGTGGGCATCGTTGAAGACGCTTTCGATGCACATGCACTCCACATAGGTGAGGTTATACATGTCATCAAGGCCGCGTGCAGACCGTAGCATTTCTGCCGCACGCCCACGTAGAGTTGCTGCACGGGCCCTGCTACGTGTGACCAAGTGCGATACGGAGTCCGCCAGCTTCTTGGGTGTCACATTCTCGCCCGCGTTTCTCAAACGTATGAACTCTGACTGCATGACGACCGAGGAGATGCATGGGTAGTCGCGGACGAAAACATGAATGGTACAAGGCCAACACTTAGCAGTCCGCTCGCGAGGCCATTCTGGCCCATAGTAGCGCGAATAAGGTTCGTATAATTTCGGAACGAAGGTTGAAGCAGAGGTGGACATTTTGTCACATGCTTGCAATGCTCTCTGGGGCGGCTCCAGTGCACCTAAATGAGACTGCGCGCAACGATAAGACTTGGGTGCAGCACAAATGATGGGTCCGTGTATTGAGGGTCTTGTTACGATTTATGATCACAAAGTTGTTCATTTAGGGCCGATAGTTGAAAGATGTACTGAAAGCATGCGAGATATTTTCGCACAGCCTAGCCACGGTCGCAAGCACACATATGTGCCCAGGGTTGTGGTCCCATCGAATTATCTAGTCTGACACTTCAGACATAGGACGAGATTAGTAGGATTTTCCAGCGCGGTAAGCAACGCTCGTGTGACATCATGGCACTAGGCACTCTCTCGTTTTCAGATATCAGAACAACTATAGCTTACGACCCCTACACACGACAGGCGCCAGCAATGCCATCAATGTTTCATCGAATATCCTATTGTGAGGATCTAGGATCGAGCTCAGAAAAGAGAATTGTAATTGAATGATCACCTGGGTACAACATGAGGCTATATATAGGCTCGACACAAGGCAGGTAACCCAGGTGTTACGCGAATGTTCTGAGGGTCGCGAAGCGCCCCGAACAGAACCTTCCCGAACTCGGTAGAAAGCACTTGGGTGGCGACCGAATAGCTTGAGTTCGGTGCACGTAACCTGGTTCGGTGCCTATAACTATAATGACTATAGTATAGCAACGAACCTAGGAAATCAAGCAATTCATGCATGCAGAAAATAATCCTAAGCTAGGAATAACGTAAGGAAATAATAGCAAGCATGAATAATAAGCATAAGCCGACGTACTCTCATACGTCCCCCCCTCAAAGCTAAGTGGCGTGAGATACACCCTGCTTGGCAAGATAATCCTTGAGAGCACGGCGTGCGTTGCCCATATCAGCTTCTACAACCCAACTGTCCTCAGTGGGGTCATAACCCTTCCAGCGTATCAGGAACTCGAGGGTCTTGCCGCCGCGGCGTCGATGAGAAAGAACGTGCTCCACTTCATATTCAGGTTCATCCTAGATGAGAACAGGAGGAGGTGGCGGAAGCTGCCGTCTCTGGAACTGTTGGTTGGGGTCCTTGTAGGGCTTCAGTAGCTGGACATGGAAAGCGTTGTGAAGCTTCCATGCATCTGGTAAGCGCAAGCGGAATGTAACTGGTGTCACCTGTGTCCCAACGAGAAAAGGACCACAGAAGCGAGGCCGGAGTTTGGATGGAAGGTGAGACAGGTTCAAGTTGCACGTGTCAAGAAGCACCTGATCTCCGACTGCTACTGAGTGATCTCGTCGCTGGCGATCGGCATACTGCTTCTGGGAGTTTTGCATCGTGGTGAGACGTCGCTGAGTCTTCTTTCATAGCTGCTGCATGGTGGTGACGAAGTCATGTGCGGCTTGGACGTGTGCCAGTGTGGTTGGCTGCTGTGGTGTAAGTGGTTCCCGTCCGTAACACAGGAAAAAAGGAGTTTTCCCTGTGGCCGCATGAGACGCGTTGTTGTAAGCGAACTCTAGGGTCGGTAACTGTGTGTCCCAGTGGCTGACGTCGTCCTTGCAAGCTGTGCGCAGTAACTGTTCAACCACTTGATTGAGTCGCTCTGTCTCTACGTCCGTCTGTGGGTGGTATGCTGAGGACATCGCCAGTTTAGTCCCCAATAATCCCATGAGCTCCTTCCAGAACTTACTCGTGAATTTGGGGTCTCTGTCTGAGATGAGTGTAGCGGGGATGCTGTGGATGGTGATGATGCGGTTGAAGAAGAGGCGAGCAGTTGCTTCAGCAGTAGCGGTGGCGTTGGTCGGGATGAAGTGACCCATTTTGGAGAACTTGTCGATCACCACGAGTATAGCATCATGCCCTCGTGAGGTCGAAGGAAGTCCCGTGATGAAGTCGAGGCTAACGACTTGCCATGGCTGCTCCGGTACGGGTAGAGGCTGAAGTAACCCTGCTTTTTTCTGCTTGCTACTCTTCATCCGCTGGCACGTGTCGCAAGAGGTGACAAACTGCTGCACGTCTGCTGCCATCCCGGGCCAGTAGTAATACTTCGCTATCCCTGCTAACGTCTTGTTGCTCCCGAAATGTCCCGCGTAAGGTACGTCGTGAAACTCCTCCAATAGGATCTGCCGTAGCGGGGCGTAATTCGGTACCCAAATCTTTCCTGAACCCTTCCTTAGAGCTAAGTCTTTCTCCCACTGTAACAGCTTCTGTTTCTCTGCCGTTGCTATCTCGCCGTCCACGGAGTACCCATGTTGGAATAGACCCTTGAGCAGAGGGTTCATCCCGTCGAGTTGGATGCCTGCTACATGTCCTGGGCGGCTCAACGCGTCTGCCTTGTTGTGTGGCCCGGGCTTGTAGACGATGTCGTAGTGGAAGTGAGTTTCCAGGAAGTCCACCCACCGCACCTGTCGTTGTGAGAGCGCCGGCTGCGACTTTAGGTATTTGAGACTGCAGTGGTCAGTATAGACTGTAGTCTTGGCTCCCTCTAGGTAACACCTCCACGCCTTGAAGGCTATGACTATCGCTAAGGCTTCCTTGTCATGGATGGGGTAGTTCAGTTCTGCTCCGTGTAGCTTCTTACTGAGGT